GATGAGGAGCGGAGGGGTGCGGAGCTCCGGGGCTGCCGCCGCCCCGCCGGGCTGCGGGCGGCGCTGCGGCCGCGCTATAAAACCGCGCTATAAACCGTGCCCCGTGCGCGGCCCCCGCCCCGCCGGCCCCGGTGCGGCGGCGCCGGACGGGCAGCCCCGGTGAGGAGAAAGGGCAGCCCCCGTGGGAAGGCAGCCTCCGTGGAAGGGCAGCTCCACGGCGGGGCTCGGCCGCCGCCGGGCAGGGGGGGCACGGGTACGGCGCTTGGGAACGGCCCCCGGTGCCCGCCCGGCCCCCGCGCAGCTCCCCGGCAGAGGGGGCGGGTACCGGAGTGACCGCCGGGGCCGGGAGCTGCGGATGCTGCCCGTGGCCCCTCCGCCACACGGGCCCATCCCGGGACTGCCCTGCCCGCCCGCGGAGGGAGCGCTGGGTTTCCGTGCTGCCGTTTGGAGAGGGATGGGGGTGCCCCGTGTGACAGGCACGGGAGTGCGGCTCTGCCACCACGCCGGGACCGGGCGCGTCTTGTGATAGAAGCTGCCAGAAACTTTCGCAGCACCTGGCTGGTACCGCGGGTCCAGCCCCTGTTAGAGCCGGGGCTCTGGGAAGGACTCATCAGGTATTCGCTGGTACCCTCACCACTAGATAAGTGCTCTAGACAGGAGACATCTCTATGCGTTCAGTTGCAGAGGTATGCGGCAACAACCCCTGAATTAAGCAGGAGTCGTTAAATGGGAGGTAGCAAGACGTGTTAATTAGGGTGGTACAGACAATCTTTTATACATTCATGCTTGCCCCTCCTGCAGCAAGGCATTCTGCACAGCTGGTCATCGAGCTTGCCTTGCCCTTGCCTGGGCTTTCAGGAGGGATGTCTCTGATAAAGACATCCCTGAGTACAGGGGCTTTACTTAGTGTTGACAGACGGTCTCTTAATTAGTGTGCTGGATACAACGGTCTTGCATTCATTTATTGTGTGCTCTCCTGTGACTCACTCTGGCTTTGGAGGCAGGAAGAGAAAACATTCTCCCCATCCTTGGCCTATTTACCAGGGTGACCAGTTACTATGATGTGGACTTCTGCAAGAGCAGGATGGTTGCTAAACAACTACCTGGTGGGAATGGCTTTTAATCAGGCTGCATTACGGAGTTAATGTAGCCTAAGCTACGTTCTTTGCCCTATATTCTTGCTTATTTGAGTGTTGATGGTTGTTGCTTAGGAAAAATATCCCTCATCCCAGTTTTCAGATTGATTTGTCAAGTCAATAAGAAAGAGAAAGCACAATAAAACAGGCCCATCACCTGAGAGTGTCTGTAGGCAGGCAGCTGTGTCAAAGGCACAGCAGCTCTCTCTGATGCATCACTTATAGAGAACAGGAAGCCAGGCAGACAAAGCCAGACCATCATCTTCCTTGTGGGGCTCCAAGGAATGCAAATTTAATGAGGCTCCTGAAGTAAAGCTGCATTCCACCGGCTTTGAGCACTCCTGCCAGTGATGGAGGTCTCTGCAGAGAAGGTAATGGTGAGGGGTTAGCAATTCTGTTGAAAACTGCAGCCTACAGTAAAGGGAAAAATTGCTTTTTCTAACTTTGCTGGTGTTGGGAGCGAAGCCCACGCTGATGTGAGGGACAGTGCTCAATCAATCACTCAGCAGAGCCCAGCAAACTGCGGGAGTCATCACCAGCGCTGGTACAAGCACTCAGACAGTGACAGGATTCTCCTCAGCAGCGATTCTGACAGCCCTCCATGTGCAGACAGGCAGACAGACAGACAGACACACACACACACACATACACCCACCCTGGGAGCCCCCCCGTCGCCTCTGCACACACACAACACACAGGGGCAAACAGACACAAAGTGCTGCTGCCACAACTGCTCCCAGACGAGCTGCTCCCATCCCTTCTCTGCACACACAAGTACATCAACCTGACAGCTTCAGCTTTTAAAACTTGTACATGGTTTTCCTTCACCTCCCTTCACACACCCCCTGCAGAGCTGCATTAGCCCGCAGCTGAACTAGAATTTTCTCTTGCTGTGTTGGCACCTACAATATATACATGAAGAACATGCCTTTCCCTGTCAACACAGAGATGCTCAGACTGCCACATTCAGCACTAAACATCCCTCCATGAACACACAGGGGTCTGCACAGCACTCAGAAAGCTCTGTAAAGGGATACTCACCTGGATGGGAAGGGGTAACTGCTCCATGGCAACTTCTATGATTTCAGTCTCCTTTCATTCTGCGTTGGAAAGAAATAAAACATTTCAAATATTTGGGGATGGGAGAGGCAGGATGGTGCCCAGGGGAGATCTTCATACCTGGCTTAACATTTCCTTCCATGCCCCTCTGTGCTCAGAGAGCATCAGCCCCTGCCTGCTATGACTTCCCTCCCTCAGGCCTCACAGAAGTGTGCAACCACACAGCATGTGCTGCCAAAAGGAAGACATAGTTCATTACTAGTTTAAATCATCAACACTGAACATGTTTTACTCAGATACAAGTTAGAACTGTGTGTATGAGCAGCACATAAACACAAACTGTATCCAAGTGTACCTGTGTGACTTGCACAGACCTGTACACGAAGGTTTCAGTGTGTTACTGCAGACTCCACTAACAATGCAAATGCATCCACAAGGAATTAGCATTATTGGTGGCTTTTATCAGCAGTGCACAGTGCCCAGGCAAACAGCACAGAGGCTGAGGGGTGCACACTGCTGTCCTCAGCCACACAGGTACAAACACACGTGTGACACCCACAGACATCAGCACTGTACTGCAGCCTCGGGGAGCAGCTGCAAATCCACAAATGCCGGGCCACAGGCACGGAGGCACAGTCACAGGAGGCTGGAAAAGGATTGCTGCTCTCCCTAAAGCCACTCCTGGCTAAAGGATGCCTTTTGGAGTTGGGAAGCTGAATGAAAACTCCTTCCCCTTTATTCATGTCCTCACAGCCTTGGCAGGACTGCCTTCCACACCAAACCCGGGCTCCGTCGGCCATTCCACTCGCTTGTATTTATGGCCCCTCTTTGAAATTCTGACTGCTCATCTATGCAGAATAAAACTACCCAAGCAATCTTTCCTGTCCAGGTGCTCATTACTAAAATGTTAAATTATGCCAGGCAGGCTCTCTTAGGCCTTGTAAATTTTATCTGGGAGACTTTCAGCTTCCACAAGGTCTATTATTGCCTGATTGCCCGAAAGGCTTTCGACTTTGTCCCAGCCAGCCACAGAGAGGGCTGGGCAAGAGTTGAGCGCTGAGCTCCTGTCAAACACCATGGCTTGGGGTGGAGAAATGCCTCCATGTGAGTGTGCTGGATGAGCACATGCAGAGCCTGTCAGCACAGCCCTGGAGCACACACAGGGCTACCAGGATTTGTGCACATGGATATGAGTCTGTGCTTGGTGTTAGAAGAGTCTGGATCGAAGGGTGACGCTGTCCATGAGTGACTTTGGGTGCAAGGAAAAGGGCCAAGGATGTGTGTCTGTGGGCCTGATCTCAGCCAGGGCTCAAAGAAAGGCTGAACACACCAGTAAGATTAATAAAGTAGAGAGAAAATAATGGAGAAACCCAGGAAGAAAGGGCAATAGCCCCCAAGGCCAGAGAGGTTCTCTTTTATCAGCTGCCAGCAAAGTGTCCCGGGAGTATCTGCAGGTACATCCAACACCCCTCAGCTCCCAGGGGCAATCCCTAAAGGATGCTGAGCTGCAGATGAAGTATATTTTCATATTAAAAGAATGGGGAGTGGGGACAAAATTATCTGAGGAGAAACTTCCCTCAGCCTTTTTGATGTTGTGCTCTTTTTTCCTAGTGCCTTCCTGTCAGAGAACTGAGACTTTTTCTCCTTATCTTTCCTAACCCAAACATCCTGCTTGACAGAACAGCATGGAGAGAGATATTTCCTATCTGCCCATAAAACTAACAGAGCCGTATCACAAGCTATTTCTATGTGTTGTGTGTTTATAAACCTCAGCCCTGCCCTGACCAAGCAAAATAGCTTCTAGTTACCACTGATTCAGGCCTGAATTCAAATTGCCAGCCCATTATTCCTTACTCAGGCAACACTAGTACTCAAAAATTATGTTAAACATTTCCCAGATGCAGAAACAATCACTTCCCCAAAGAGCAAGAGGTGAAGGCACACAGCCAGTCAGCCCCCTCTTTTATTGGATAACATTTCTCATATATTTTGTGAGAGCCAGATGGCACCATCTGAACAGCAGTGAGCCCAGGAGCCTCCAGCCACATCAGGAAAAGGGAAGCGTGTCCCAGCCCTGCTGTGGGCACAGGGCTGCCCCTGCTCAGGCACAGGGCACAGGACACGAAAGCTCTTCTGCGTAAATTCACACATGGAAACCTAAATCACCACTGCTGACAGGCAAAACCCCACAGTTTTGAGGGCAGGAAGAGTTTCCCCAGGCTCTCTGGAAAAGGAAGGTCTGTCTGCAGGTTGCCAGAGAAAAAGAAACAGATGTAAAGAGAGACAGAGAGTGTTCTGAAGTTCTAAACCCCCGCTGCGTGTGAGGCCTTTTCCCTGCAATTAAGGGAAGCTAATGGTTTTATGGAAGCTGTTTGTTCAAAAGGCCTCCACTGCACTGTTTAATGGAGTTTCACCAGCATTCCCCAAAGGCT